CACAAAGAGCACACGCGCGCGATCATGTCAGAATCCTACCGAACACCGTGTGTTTGCAAGCATTTCAACATAAAAACATCAAAAACCCAATGTTTTTCACAAAAATTGTACAAATTTCCCGCTCGGGCTCTCTTGCTGAAATCATAGGAAAACCATAGGAATCTTAAGAATTCTGTCAAATCCAGCGATTTCACGTCATCGCGCGGTGCACTCGCGATGCTCTGTCATGCACCCAGGCCGCGAATCCTGTGCAAAAATTACCACGCGGGCGACATGCGCGCGCGTCGCCGCGAGCGCATGCTCAAATCCTTCTAGAGTCGTCGCCGTCATTGGCACCGTCGCATGGACGTCCTGTCGTCCACGTCGCAAAATGCATGGCAGGAATGGGACCCGGCTTACCGGGCCGTTCTCGACACGGACACCTCTGGCTTCCTGCGGTGTACCGGGCCATTCTCGACTCGTCTGGCAATGCGTGCGCGGCATTCAACACGCGCTCGCCAGTTCCCGTCGGCAACCGCCATCGCGGCCGCATCAGCTGTACCAAACCGGCTGCCGGTGTGACTTCGGCCCCCAGTTGTGCCAGCTTTGCTTCTTATGTTGTGGGAGGGCGGGTGGGACTGGGCATGCCATGCTTGACTCGCTCGAGCTGGCTAGCTTGACTCCTACTCCTACTCCTATCCTTATTTCTTATTAGAATATACTCCTACTCCCCCCTCAGGCCGGCCATTAGGGGCCGCATCCGGGGGGTCCCATCCTAACCTGTAAAAAACAATACAAAATCAACATTTTTTTTATTTTTTCCTCTCGACATGGACGTCCTGTCGTCCACGGCGATAATCCATTGCAAAAAATACCACAAAGAGCACACGCGCGCGTTCATGTCAGAATCCTACCGAACACCGTGTGTTTGCAAGCATTCCAACATAAAAAAACATCAAAAACCCAATGCTTTTTCACAAAAATTGTACAAATTTCCCGCCCGGGCTCTCTTGCTGAAATCATAGGAAAACCATGGGAATCTTAAGAATTCGGTCAAATCCAGCGATTTCGCGTCATCGCGCGGTGCACTCGCGATGCTCTGTCATGCACCCAGGCCGCGAATCCTGTGCAAAAAATACCACAAAGAGCACACTCGCGCGTTCATGTCAGAATCCTACCGAACACAGTGTGTTTGCAAGCATTTCAACATAAAAACATCAAAAACCCAATGTTTTTTCACAAAAATGCTTTGGGGTGTCCTGTCAGACCGTCGGGCTTCCTCCGGCCACCTCTGGCTTCCTGCGGTGTACCGGGCCATTCTCGACTCGTCTGGCAATGCGTGCGCGGCATTCAACACGCGCTCGCCAGTTCCCGTCGGCAACCGCCATCGCGGCCGCATCAGCTGTACCAAACCGGCTGGCCGGTGTGACTTCGGCCCCCAGTTGTGCCAGCTTTGCTTCTTATGTTGTGGGAGGGCGGGCGGGACTGGGCATGCCATGCTTGACTCGCTCGAGCTGGCTAGCTTGACTCCTACTCCTATTCCTATCCTTATTCCTTATTAGAATATACTCCTACTCCCCCCTCAGGCCGGCCATTAGGGGCCGCATCCGGGGGGTCCCATCCTAACCTGTAAAAAACAATAGAACATCAACATTTTTCTTATTTTTTCCTCTCGACATGGACGTCCTGTCGTCCACGGCGATAATCCATTGCAAAAAATACCACAAAGAGCACACGCGCGCGTTCATGTCAGAATCCTACCGAACACCGTGTGTTTGCAAGCATTTCAACATAAAAACATCAAAAACCCAATGCTTTTTCACAAAAATTGTACAAATTTCCCGCCCGGGCTCTCTTGCTGAAATCATAGGAAAACCATAGGAATCTTAAGAATTCGGTCAAATCCAGCGATTTCACGTCATTGCGCGGTGCACTCGCGATGCTCTGTCATGCACCCAGGCCGCGAATCCTGTGCAAAAAATACCACAAAGAGCACACTCGCGCGTTCATGTCAGAATCCTACCGAACACCGTGTGTTTGCAAGCATTTCAACATAAAAACATCAAAAACCCAATGCTTTTTCACAAAAATGCTTTGGGGTGTCCTGTCAGACCGTCGGGCTTCCTCCGGCCACCTCTGGCTTCCTGCGGTGTACCGGGCCATTCTCGACTCGTCTGGCAATGCGTGCGCGGCATTCAACACGCGCTCGCCAGTTCCCGTCGGCAACCGCCATCGCGGCCGCATCAGCTGTACCAAACCGGCTGGCCGGTGTGACTTCGGCCCCCAGTTGTGCCAGCTTTGCTTCTTATGTTGTGGGAGGGCGGGTGGGACTGGGCATGCCATGCTTGACTCGCTCGAGCTGGCTAGCTTGACTCCTACTCCTATCCTTATTCCTTATTAGAATATACTCCTACTCCCCTCAGGCCGGCCGATAGGGGCCGCATCCGGGTGGTCCCATCCTAACCTGTAAAAAACAATACAAAATCAACATTTTTTCTTATTTTTTCCTCTCGACATGGACGTCCTGTCGTCCACGGCGATAATCCATTGCAAAAAATACAACAAAGAGCACACGCGCGCGTTCATGTCAGAATCCTACCGAACACAGCGTGTTTGCAAGCATTTCAACATAAAAACATCAAAAACCCAATGCTTTTTCAAAAAAAAAAAAAAAAAAAAAAAAAAAAAAAAAAAAAAAAAAATAAAAAAAAACGACCAATTCCCCGCCCGGCGCTCTTGCTGAAAGCAATGAGAAAGGAAACCATAAAGGAATCTTAAGAATTCTGTCAAATCCAGCGATTTCACGTCATCGCGCGGTGCACTCGCGATGCTCTGTCATGCACCCAGGCCGCGAATCCTGTGCAAAAAATACCACAAAGAGCACACTCGCGCGTTCATGTCAGAATCCTACCGAACACCGTGTGTTTGCAAGCATTTCAACATAAAAACATCAAAAACCCAATGCTTTTTTCACAAAAATGCTTTGGGGTGTCCTGTCAGACCGTCGGGCTTCCTCCGGCCACCTCTGGCTTCCTGCGGTGTACCAGGCCATTCTCGACTCGTCTGGCAATGCGTGCGCGGCATTCAACACGCGCTCGCCAGTTCCCGTCGGCAACCGCCATCGCGGCCGCATCAGCTGTACCAAACCGGCTGGCCGGTGTGACTTCGGCCCCCAGTTGTGCCAGCTTTGCTTCTTATGTTGTGGGAGGGCGGGTGGGACTGGGCATGCCATGCTTGACTCGCTCGAGCTGGCTAGCTTGACTCCTACTCCTACTCCTACTCCTATCCTTATTCCTTATTAGAATATACTCCTACTCCCCCCTCAGGCCGGCCGATAGGGGCCGCATCCGGGTGGTCCCATCCTAACCTGTAAAAAACAATACAAAATCAACATTTTTCTTATTTTTTCCTCTCGACATGGACGTCCTGTCGTCCACGGCGATAATCCATTGCAAAAAATACCACAAAGAGCACACGCGCGCGTTCATGTCAGAATCCTACCGAACACCGTGTGTTTGCAAGCATTTCAACATAAAAACATCAAAAACCCAATGCTTTTTCACAAAAATTGTACAAATTTCCCGCCCGGGCTCTCTTGCTGAAATCATAGGAAAACCATAGGAATCTTAAGAATTCGGTCAAATCCAGCGATTTCACGTCATCGCGCGGTGCACTCGCGATGCTCTGTCATGCACCCAGGCCGCGAATCCTGTGCAAAAAATACCACAAAGAGCACACTCGCGCGTTCATGTCAGAATCCTACCGAACACCGTGTGTTTGCAAGCATTTCAACATAAAAACATCAAAAACCCAATGCTTTTTCACAAAAATGCTTTGGGGTGTCCTGTCAGACCGTCGGGCTTCCTCCGGCCACCTCTGGCTTCCTGCGGTGTACCGGGCCATTCTCGACTCGTCTGGCAATGCGTGCGCGGCATTCAACACGCGCTCGCCAGTTCCCGTCGGCAACCGCCATCGCGGCCGCATCAGCTGTACCAAACCGGCTGGCCGGTGTGACTTCGGCCCCCAGTTGTGCCAGCTTTGCTTCTTATGTTGTGGGAGGGCGGGTGGGACTGGGCATGCCATGCTTGACTCGCTCGAGCTGGCTAGCTTGACTCCTACTCCTACTCCTACTCCTACTCCTACTCCTACTACTACTCCTGCTACTACTACACTACTACTACTACTACTACTACTACACTACTACTACTACTACTACGACTACGACTACTACTACTACTACTACTACTACTACTACTACTACTACTACTACTACTACTACTACTACTACTACTACTACACTACTCCTACTCCTACTCCTACTCCTCCTCCTCCTCCTCACTTCCAGCGGATGGGTTTTCTGATTCCCGTGGTCTTCTCTCGACCTTGGCTGCCAAGAGCCCTGGGACGAAAACTACCCCCAGGCAAGGGGTCGAGACCTCCTGGGGCCGCGCACTGAAAGCATCACATCGTCGGATGACTGGGGACGACACGGAACGACAACCGGTCCCTCTTGCTCATTCTCTCCAACGGGGCCCGGGCGCCCCGACCCCTTCCCAAGACCAGGCCTTCCTCCCGAGCCGTTCTTGACGGCCCCAGTGGCCCAGAGAGGGCCACCTGGAGGCCAAAGACTTCCAGAGAGCTCCAATCCTGATCTCTTGTCACGACGTGACGCAGGTCTGGGTTCCGGGTGGCTTTCGGGCCGTGGCTCCGGGCTCTAGCGGCCGTGCCAGACGACTCGGGGCACCCCCGGAACGCCTGGGCGACGCGCCACTGTTGGAAAGCATCCCGAGGCGCGGAGACTTATACGAACCATCGCTAGCCTCCAAAAATGCACCGTCGTCGTCGTCGGCGGCGGCGTCGGCGACGGCATTGGCATCGGCGTCGGGGTTGGGGTCGAAGTCGAGGTCGTCAGCGTCGTCGGCGTCCGCGTCGTCGTCGGCGGCCTCGTCGAGGCGGGGCCAGCCGCGGCGACAAGAGGCGGCCCAGAGGCCCAGTGGGCAAGCGAGCGAGCCAGCGTGCGCCCAGGTGGGTCACTGGGACGCCGCCGAAGGTGAGAGCGAGGGCCGCAGCGGCGGCCACGTAGCGCGGGCACCTCTCGCGGGCGCAGTGCCACTGCAGTCTGGACAAGGGGACTTGCTAGCAGCCAGCCGCAGGGCCACCGAGTGGCATAGACACGAAGCAAAGGCCTCGACCCACGATCCCGAAAGCCTCGACACTCGCGATACTCGAGTGAAGGCCTCCCAAATGGGATCCGAGCACATGGGGTCGAGGGATCGCGCCGCATCGCCCATGCATCGGCGACGACGGCGTGGGGAAAATCAGGCTCCTCGTGAAATTGTGTTTTGTCGGCGATAGCCTGGGTTATCCCGCGGGAGGGAGGGGGGAAGGTGCTGGCCCATTAACCGAACCTTCTCGCGTTGGCCAGCCCCACGTATGCCCGCGCGCACCAGCACTGCCTGATCCTTCGGACCTGCGCAACCGACAAGCTCAGGTTATCCAGGGGAGAGGGGGGTGGCAGGCGGGCCCGGGCCGCATCGCCGATGCCTCGGCGACGCTGCGCCATCCTCCGACCCCGTCTGCTCCGACCCCATCTGGGAGGCCCGATCGTTCGGCCGCCCGGCAGCCCGGAGGGCAGCTCGGACCCCTCGCGGCGGGGGGCGACCGCATGCCACGCCAGCAGCTCCCGCGCCAGCTCACCCCAGGGGCACCGCTCCAGCGCGCCCGCTGCCGCCTCGCCGGGCATCGAGAACCGGCGCTCGGCTCTGTTTCGGCGGCGCGCCCAGGGGGGAGGCCTTGTCGGAGTTCGAGGTTCGAGGTTTTCTCGCGTTTTCGTTGGTTTTGCTGGCTTTCTGGCCTCGGGGTGCTCTCCAGCAGCTGCGCTTCGGCGGGAGCGTTCCCGAGGTGCCCGGATCATCCCGAACGGCCGCCAGAGGCCCGAGCTGACACTAAGACTACCGAGCGGGGCCTCTCAGAAGAGCGAGGGGGGGGGGAAGTGAGAAGGCCTTCTCAAAGGCGGCGGGACTTCTCAAAAGCCCTAATGCCTTCTGAGAAGTGTTGTGTGCCCTCGGAGAGAAAAGCTTCGAAAACGGCTCAGAAGGCCAGTGGGGACTCCCGAGCCTTCTGAGAAGGCCCGCCCCTTCCCACTTCCCCCGCGGGCTCGACGCCGACTTTTGGCGCGATGGTGGGGCCATCTCGGGCGCCTCGGACGCCCAGCGGAAATGAGAAGGGTAGAACGCAGAAGCAGCTGAAGCTCGAACGGGCTCTTGAAGGGGGTTGGCATCTCGGGGGCCTCCTTGGAAGGCTCCGCGACCTTCAGGCGCCGCATCGGGGTGCCTTCCGAGAGACTTCGAAACCTTCTCCGAACACACTTTTTTCGTGGGCGGTGAGACTGAGTTGGCTGCCCGAGCGCTAGAGCTGGACGGGGGCACCGAAAAGCGAATTGGCCAGCGTGCAAAAGCGGGACGAGGGCAGAGACGGCGGCCGCGGAGGCCTTCTCTGAACACACGGGCGGCTTCTCAGAAGCAAGAGCGTCTGCGAAGCCCCCGCCCGCTCCCTGGAAGGCCGGCCCCTCCTGCCTTCCCTCTGGGGCGCGCCGCCGCCTGCTGCACGATGGCTCTCTCAGGGGCCTCGTCGAGGCCCCTCGACAACGGTGCCGTGACGGACCCTACTCTGGATGTGGTATTAATCAGGGGGGGGGGTCCATTTTCCTTCCGACTAAGCTTGCCCGACCTCGCTCCCGTCCATCCTCCTTCCGCCCCTCACCTTATGTTGCTCCAATCGTACTTAAGGACCAAATCCCAAAAACAATTTCGAGTACCCAGAAAAGTATCGAAACAGTATCGAACGAGTATCGCCTCCTAGAGCCCGACACGTGAAAACCCTTCAGTTTCGGTACTTCGTTGGGGCTCGAAATTCTTTCTGGTACTTTTCAGGCTAAAGTAGGTTGGAACATCGTCGTCCTCCTCTTCCTCCAACCCTCCCTCCACCCGTTCCGACAGCACGTGCCCAACCCCCCCCGGGGGGGGGGGGGGGCGATTATTGCCCCATCCAAAGTACGGTGACCCCGAAATCCCAGAAGGCCTCACTGCACGGTCAGTCACCGCACAGGTGTTGGGCCTCCAGGCCGAGCGACAAGATCTGTGCATGTCCACTGCTCCCTGGCCAGGCCCATCCCGAACCCAGCAGCGGCATATACGCCACGCCCTCCCGGCTCGGCCAGGAGGGCGCACACATGGCTCCCGGGTTCAGGATGGGCCTGGCCAGGGAGCAGTGGATATGTACAGATTTCGTCGCCCGACCTGGAGGCCCAAATCACCCCCAAAGCCGCCCGCGGAGAACGACCCAAGTCCCAAAACCGTGCGGCCACCCCAAATCCCCACTGAATCACTACACGGTGTGGCCAAAGCTCCGTTTGGGGGCCCCCCGGTGTTTCGGCTTGTTGCCGGCCTCCACCGGAGGCCTGCGGCCCGGCGGTTCTGGCCGGCTTCGATATCGCTGTCGGCCCAGCCAGCTTTCGGCCGCGCTGTCGCAGCGGGGGGCCTCTTGGAAGGCGAGGGCCTCGTTAGACGCCCTCCCGTCTTCCACGGAGCCGGCTTGGACAGGTCTCTGGGCGCTTCTGAGATCCTGGCCTTGTCAAGAAGGCCCCAGCCTGCTTGGAAGGCCGCCCCGCTCGCGCCAACCTCTTGTGCGCTCACGTCAAGCGACAGCCTCACCTGTCCTGACCAGGACCACCCATCCTGGTCGGTGTAGACGCACCCCTGGCAGGACCGATCCTGGCCTCTCCTCAGCAGCCGGGAGGGCTTCGAAGAAGGCCCCTGCCTTCTAAGAAGCTACCGTCTTTCCTTCTGCAGCGACCGAGACCGACTGGCCGCAAACAGCCCAGAAGGGCGCAGCGACGCGGCAACGAACCAACAACCGCTCGAACCGAACCGAGCCGACCGAACGCAACCATCCTAGACGCAGCCGAACCGACAGAACCGCGGACACCTCGGTAATCCTCGTCGTCTGGCTTTCGGGTCATAACTCGGTCCGCAAGCAGCCGTTTTGAACGACTGGCACCCCTGGAACGCTTTCGACGAGGCGCAGCTGCCGGAAACCACCCCAAGCTCTGGAAAAAAACTGAAACCTTCGAAGACCTTTGAACCGGCGGAACACTTCGGAGAACATTCTGAGAACCTCCGAAACTCTCCGAAGACCCTGCCCTCGAAAACCTCCTGCTAACCCTTTGAGAACGCTCCGAAGAGATTCCGAAGACCTTTCGAAAACCTCCGAAAATTTGCACACGAAACCCACCAAAACCCACGGGACGCCCCCCACAGGACTGCCTGCCGCCTTCGGGCGTGGACTACTGTTACACCAGCTCAGCGCTAATCCGGCTCAGCCAATGCAGAAAAAGCTGAGCTGCAATTGGTCGAGGGGTGCCCCAAACCCAGCTCAGCCAACACGTAAGACCACCTTCAAGGCAGCGAGCGCCTCCCCAACCTGGGCTCTACCAAAATCTGGTTGTTCGGAATCCTGCAGGATCCAGCGCTCTGGCTGAGCCCCTTCTGCGCTGAACTCCGTTACCTGCCAACCCACGCCTTCCACTAGGGTGGGTTCTGATCAGAATTTCGATGCGAATTCTGTCGTGGCGACGAGGGCCTCCCAGGAGGCCCCAGCAAGCGAAAACGATAAGAAGGCAGCGGCGTCGGTACTTTCCCAGACGTGCGACGTCCTGACCTTTCCCACGCGCGGTCCCAGAGCCCCGCCCCTCTCCCCAGGGCTGGTGGTTCGTCCCGAGCCGTTTTCGGACGGGCCCGCGGCCCAGCGAGGGCACCCAGCGTGGGAGCAGCACGTGTGTGCAATCACTTGTGCTGGCCTTCGCCGGAAACATACTGCAAATACGGTGTTGAAAGTCCCACGCTCGCACACCTACCCAGAAGGGTGTCCACTATACCATGTGCAGCGGCGGCGGAGAACAGGATATCATGCCATTAGCAATAAAAGGACCCCCAACCCTTTGGGAGGGGATTTCAGCTAGGAGGGCCCAAGACATCAGGGATAGGGTGTCGACTCTGCAGATGTATCGAACCGAACCGCCCAGAGCTAGTATCCCTAATGCAAAGACGGCGACCTCAGTGGGGCCACGTCTTCGTCGTGCTATCAGGGTTGGAGGTCCCTTCATCCTCGATGGTCATGGTCATGCTTCGGTGCTTCGGCCCCCGACCGAAGCCGAAAAAACGGCGAGAAACCTTCGTCCTCTGGCCTGGAGCACTCGAGGACTCCCAGATGGGGTCCGAGTGGATGGGGTCGAAAGATCGCGCCGCATCGCCAACGCATCGCCAACGCATCGCCGATGCATGGACGACGTCGGCACTGCATCGGCGCCATCGGCGTGGAGACTCTCTGGCCCCACCTCGAGCCGCATCGTCGACACACCGTCGGTGCGGAGCGATCCTTCGACCCCATCTGCTCGGACCCCACTTGGGAGGCCCAGACCCAGACATCCGGCTGCTCAATTTTTTCGATGCACGGGCTTCGGAGGTCTGGACCACTTCCCTGGGGCCCGCTTTCGTCCCAGGCCGACGAGGGCCCCCAGAGGCCGAACACAACCCAAAACCGCCCGCTCCAATTTTTCTAGAGCGTCAGATCTCTGTGGAAGCGTTGTCTGCCGCCTCTGGCGGCGGCCCGCTGGGCCCCGCCGCGTCCGCGGAGCCAGCGGGGCACTCCCCGGCCGCGGGCAGGCCGCGCGGCGCAGCGGCGGCCAGCGCGCCCCAAATGGCGTCGGCCGCCGGCTGCCCCCGGCAGTCGTGGTGGCTGGCCCAGAAGGCCCCCGCCTGGGGGGACCCGAACCGAGGCTCCCAGGGGGGAGGGGGGAGGCGCCCTCCTCCGCCTCCTCCTCCTCCTCCTCTTCCTCCTCCTCCTCCTCCTCCTCCTCCTCCTCCTCCTCCTCCTCCTCATCATCCTCCTCCTCTTCGACATCATGTTCCACCTCTTCCTCCTCCCTCCTCCTCTTCCTCTCCTCCTCCTCCTCCTCCTCCTCCTCCTCCTCCTCAGCAGCAGCAGCATCACCACCACCACCACCACCACCACCATCAGCATCAGCATCAGCATCAGCATCAGCATCAGCATCAGCATCAGCATCATCATCATCATCATCATCATCATCATCATCACCATCATCATCATAATAATCATCATCATCAGCATCATCATCATCATCATCATCATCATCATCATCATCATTGTCATCATCATCATCCTGTGGACGACTCCGTGGCCAGATGATTCTTTTTGTGCAAGAGGGCGCCAGGCGAGGACACGAACTCTGATGCCGCAGGGGCCAGCACCAGGCCAAAGAAACATTCTTGAGTCAGGAGAGAAGGGGGGGAGGGAGAGACTTGAGAATGGCAGCGCGGCCCGAAAGAGAGCCACAAATAGCCGCGGGCAGCATAATGTGGACGACTCCGTGGCCAGATGATTCTTTTTGTGCAAGAGGGCGCCAGGCGAGGACACGAACTCTGATGCCGCAGGGGCCAGCACCAGGTATTATGGCTAGTCCAAGACACTGGCTGAAAGCCGCAATACTTAAATGAAATCCCACACACATCTAGATAGTCGGGAGACGTATCGTAGGCTATCGACACTGTTGGCCATCACTTCACATGCGAATCGTAGGATACAGGCAGGAGGGTGGCACGCAGCGCTGCGCACCTGACGGTCTAACGATGGGATGCCTAACTCGCCGAGATGTCGCTTCCGAGTGCGACGGCACGGCGAGGCAACAGGTGAACAGGTCAGGGATAGCCGATCAATATCTTTCACGCTCCAGCTTATAAGTCGAAATCTGTTTTTGACACGGCCAGAGTACATGCAGGAGACGAAAACTGTCGAAGACGAACTCTGGTTCACAAGAGTGGTGCACGCACGGCCGCCCCATATAAAAGACGCGTCGGGATGGCACAATATGGCGGGCACTTTCTTATCACAGCATTCAGACAGGACGCGCAAGTACTGATCCTGAAAGAGGTTGGCGACGCAAACAGATCGAGCTTGAAAGTTGGTCAAGCTCGGGAAGCCGCGAGGATACAGCTTAGAACGCACAGCAGGCGACTGACGAAGCCAGGTGGCGGTGTCGGGTTCCACCCACACGCACGAGAGGCAGCTAGAACGAATCCAGCCTAAAACGCGCCGCATCACTGCGGGATCGGTGATGTCGTCGCCTGCGTGGCGACTCGTGTCGAGGTGCACGACGCCGAAGCCCAACCGCTGCAGGGCGCGGGCCGCACCACCGTCGCTGCCGAGCACCAGCGCAGGGCAGCACCTGCTTCTCGTAGAAGCCCGCCTGGCAGAGCGCCACAGGCGCGTCAGGCGAAGGCCCACCGTGCAGTGATCTGTGGGGGCGGCGGCCTGACGGCAGGCGGCGTCGGCGTCACGGCCAGCGGCACCTGCAGCGGGAAGACGCCCGAGGCCGTGGTCTGGAGGATGAGGTCGTTCATCTGCCTGTCCACCTGCTCGCCGAAGTCGACGACGTTCTGGCCTAGGTTGGCGATCCGCTGCTGCATGCGGGCCCGCTTCGCGTAGCGGAGGAGGCTCTGGTCCGTCCTCCAGCGGCCGCGGTCCTTGACCTCCTTCCTCGTGCGCCTGAGCGACAGCAGGTCGTCGGACGCACCCCCATGACGAAGCGAGTAGAGAGTCAACTCGGTCTCCAGACCGAGGGCAGCTGCCGCTCGACGGAACATGCTCCGCACCTCGTCGGGGGCGAAGGTCCAAAGGCCGTCGATCGGGCCCTTGTCGTGCACCAGGGCCTCCAGGAGCGGCCAGATGGTCGGGTCGTCGACAATCACGCTCTCGTCCATCTCGCCTGTCTTGCCAGGACGGTCGAGGCAGGCGTCGTTGACGATCAGGGCCCGGTGGCCGTATCCCAGGGCGCCGTCGGGTCGAGGTCGTATCACGCTCCCCGCCGTGAGGCGGCATGCCTCGCTTGGCCTCAGGTAGGTGTCGAACATCAGCCTGATGAACACAGCCATGCCGAAGAGCTTCCACGATATCAGGACGCCCACGATGGACGCCATCGCCGCTCGAGGTAGAGGGAGTCGCATCCGTGGGGGAACGAGCTTCCGCCAGCCTGTCAAGGCGCGAGCCGCCCGTGGGCACGGAGCCCTGCCAGCGAGGATCGCGGGCAGGTAGTGCTTCAGAGCGGCCATGAGTACACGGCCCGTGGCACTGTCGAAGCCGTCCAGAAAGAGGTTCACGAAGTAGGTAACTAGGATGACATCGACCTCCTCTGCCGTGGAGAACGTCTGGGACGTCCAGCGGCACCACTCCTCGAACTTCTTGGCGGCGCCCCAGTAGTTGGCCATGGTCGCGTCCGACACGGCGGCCGACTCCAGCACCGACAGGGCCCCTCGGGCGAGCAGCACTGGCCCGGGATGGGTCCTGGTCCTCTGATCCGTCAGCGTCGTGGTCCGCTGCCGTCGAAGCTCGGGATGCATTCGCTTGGTGCTCCTCGAAGGTCGGCCCGACGAAGAAACCTGTCCTGGACGGCGAGTCCGCGGCATTGCTCTCGCTGGGGATCCACCGAATGGCGCGGCGGATGCCCGAGGCCGCCGACAGGGCGCATAGACGGCGCAGAGGGTCGCGAAGGCCTCGGGCGCCAGAACGGCCCTTGCCAGCGGCAAGTGCTAGAGGCAAATTGTCAACGGTGAACCAGATGCGATGATGACGAAGCCGTCCAGACCGAGCCGAGTGTCGCATCGCAAACCCGAGAGCCTCCGCCTCGTATCGCATAATGTCCAAGCCGAACCTCGAGTGACGCGAACTGCGCATCGTGGCCCAGCCGTCGAAAGCCGTGATCGAGTCGGGAATTTCGTCGAAGCCGTCGAGGGAAGCAGCGTCAGCTGGTCGATGCAACGATGATGCCGTAGACGGAGGGCCCCCAGGGATCTTAGGAGGCCTCGGACTGAGGCGGCATTCTTCGAAGCATTTTTTGTTCACGGCAGCTTCTAACACAGTGCGAGGCTCGATCCCGAGCGCGCGCGCACGGGCGTGCACGGCGTCGGAGAACCGATAGCGCCATCTCTCAGACAAGCGCCCAGCGGCCGCGGCGACCTCCTGGTCGACGGTCTTACGGCAGACCCCGATGCCGTAGGGGGAGGCGTCGCTGCAGAAGGTAGTCGCCGACCACTCTGCTCTGACGTCAGCCCACCATAGCGGTATGAGGGCGGCTGCCGCGCGCAGCTCGGCGATGACCGACGGCCACAGCGGCACGGCCACTCGGGGGTCCAGGCCCATGAAGCGGTAGACCGAGTTGAAGATCGACAGCATGGGTCTATTGGTGATCATACCCCACGTACAGTGACCCACTACTGCTGACAAGGCCAGAGGCGATGCAAAGCCACGCCTAAGTAGACCAAGAAGGGCTTGACGCAACCGGCAGAGCCTGTCGATCTTACACCGGACGATGCCGACGTCGCCGAGGATGTCCAAGCCAGTGAAGACCACGCGCTTGGCGGCGGGGGCGAACTCGTCGACGGGCAGACCCCTCGACACGAGCACGTCGCGCATGGCCTGGCAGGCCGTCGCGGCCACATCAGGGCCGAGGGACACGGTGGCAAAGTTGTCTACGTAGCCCGCGCCGATGACGTCGGAGTCCTTCCGCAGCGGAGGGATGGCAGCGCCGTCCACCAGCATGGAGCTCTCGTCGATTCCCGAGTCGAGGATGGCCGCGGCCAGGGCGGACTGGCAGAAGTGGAGGGCCCACGACCAGCCCATCGGCATGACGGAGACGAACGGCTGCAGGAAGGCGTTCGTCCCGATGCTCACGCCGTTGAGCCGCTCGAAGCCCAAGTATCGATTCGGGACGACGGGCAGAGAAAAATATCGATGCAGATGTGGCGGTAACTTCATATGGTAAAAGGCGCACTGTATGTCGCCCTGGGCCACGTAGAAGTCGCGGTCGGCCTCGAGTGCGCCCCATGCCGACGGAGTCGGCAATCTCGTAGAAGGAGGTGCCGAGAAGGACATGTTGGCCACCCGCGCGTCGAAGACGAGCCGCAGGTTGACGCCGTTGGACTTCTCGACGAAGAAAAAGCCAGTAGAATAGGTAGCCTGACGTTCGGCGACCTCCCACTCAAGCATGCCAACCTGGTCCAGGCGTAGCAGAAAATCAGCATACTCCCGAGGCCGAAATCGAAGACGTGGATCCACATAGGGCGACCCCAGTCCCGAGTCCTTCCTGAGAGCAGCTGCATCAGCAGGGTCACGTAGCATTTGATGCCTCCACCTTGACAACATAGAACGATCAGCTTCAGACACGAGGTCGGCCGTCGGGACAGGCGCCACGTGCTTCGGCCAGGAGACGAGCTCCTTGTTGTAGGGTCTTACCCGAGACTCTCCAGAGTACCCAGGCGCCGATGCGAGCAACTCTCCGAGGGCTGCCTCACATCTCAGATGAGATTCGGAATATCCAGGAGGTAGCTCAAAATCGCGATACTGTTGAGCAAGATACTCCTCAGCGTCACTACGAGCGCGCGGAGGAAGACCAGGAGGCGGGCTGATCACATCGTTCGGGTCGCAGTGGTACATGTCGTTGAGAGTGGACACCGCGTCGTTGTACCACTCACGCCAGGCAGCACCCCTGGCGGCCCGCTTGCGGGCCGACCCGCCCACGGATGAAGTGCCCGATCTTCGCTCCACAGGAATAGGGTGGAGGGGAAAAACGTATCGCTGTCGAGGGGGTCGTGCAGCGAGGGGGCAATGAGCCTGGCTGGCGCCACTGCGGCGCGCCCCACAGCCAGGCCTGAAGTTCTCAGGCGTCATGGCGCCCGCAAGGCCCGCTCCTCGCGAGCCTTGCGGCGCTCTTTGCTGATGGCGGCCTCCGCCCTCATCTGGTCTGCGATGTACTCCAGCAACTTCGGCGAGATGCAGAGGTTGGCCTTGGAGACGCCTGCGCCGAGGAAGTGGCTGGTCTCGGGCGTGCTGGAGGTCCCAGCTGCGGCGCCGCCTCTGGCCGCGGCCTTGGCCTTGGGGGCTGCGCCGCTCGGAGGTGCCGATCGCGTCTCGTACACCCGCTCCTCCAGGAGCTGGAGCTGGCGAGCGACGATCTCGAACGATGCCATCTCGGCGATCTGCAGCTGGTCGTACACGACGGCGAGGTCCAAGACGCGGCAGAGAGTCTCGTGGAGCT